AACCCAGCTGAGTGTGTATCTGATAAACACCTGAATCTAAACACCTGTGTGAGCATGTTTATCACTATAAGGTTTCTCCATAAAAATGTTCAATAGTGGATGTGAGGACCCACAGACCCATCCCCACAGGACATGATGGTAACACAGGGAAGACTGGAACCACAGACACACAGCGGCCCCCAAGCCCAGAACTCCAGGAGTCCCCCAACAGGGACACCCGCACCCCCCAGAGAGAGAAGCAAAGGGAAGCCCCGGGCGATCCCCAGCCACCACAATGCAGAAACCCCAGGAGGCTGCAGCGACGAGTCCACAGGCCCCGCTGGCAACCCGCCCCTCCAGAGTAGATTTGGCCATGGACACCGAGCCCTGAGTCCCGAGGTCATACCACCCCCAACAGAGGCCCGGCAGAGCCAGGGCACCCAGGCCCCGGCAGGCAGCCACCAGGGCGTGCCCACACACACCCCACTACCCAGCCCCAGCTGCTGAGAGCCGCCAATGCACCGGCGGCAGGGGGCCCACCACAGGTGGGGAGTACAACACACCAAATGGGGGGGGCAAAATTGATCCAAGACAGGGGACCACCCAAAACCCAACCTGAGACATAAACAGGCACACAGAGACAGCTCGACGGACCCTCCGTCGGGCCGTCCATGTGCCCCACCAACCCGACAGCGACCTCAAGCTGGCCCCAGGCTGGGGGCCAGAGCAGCAGGGAACAACAGCCAAGGAAGGCCGGCCCAGCACACCAATGCTTCCCTACAGCCCCACACCCAAGACCTGGAGAGGCCCCGGCACACCACCCATGCACCACCCATGCACCCCACCACACACACAGCACCCCCCACCGCAAAGAGAGTGGAGAGCAGGCAGTGCCTTTTCACCTCCCCTACCCTTGCCCAGAATCCTAAATGTCTACATGCTACATATGAAAGTGGGCACCATGTGCCCACTCCAGACCCTAGATATGCATGTCATGAGAATGTTATGAGTGTCTAGGTTGTTTAATAAAATTGGGGCCCAGGTCTCCATGAACCACAGAGATGGAGGATCCTCCCCGCAGCTCAGTAGTGCACCTGAGCTGGCCAAGCTCTCCGTGAGTGGTGGTGTGATGGAGTGGGCGGAGGAAGACGTCGGGATGGGGAGGAACAACTGAGGTGCCAATGCTCTCCCAGGGGGCCAGCTCCCCCATTGACCCCAATAGGCACCCCCATTCTCCGAGATCCACCAGGGGAGGGAGGCTCCAGTGCATCCATCCAGGAGCAGGAGGCAGTCGCACCACCAGGGACCCAGGCCACGGACCGGCACATAGCCCCGAGGACCGACCAGAACCCGGGCCAGCAACCCAATCCCCAGCTCAACATCCAGCCCCCCGACCAAAGAGACCACCAAACTCCAGCAGCGACAATCAGAAGAAAGGCTCTGATACACAGAACAAGAGCAAAAACAGGAGGGGAGGCAGGAGAGGGAAAGAGAGTGTCCGTCTTTGTCGAGAGCAAGAAGGAAAAATCTTGAAATGATTTACTGGTACACATAATTTTTGGTGGTTTGTTACAATTGAAAAAGTCCTTTTGTTTTAATTATATGTTGGTAGCATGGCACATCTTTGTTTTGGGTCTCACTGTAAGGCTTGTGGCAGCGTGTGGAGAGACATCATTTCAGCTCCAGTGAAGCTAAAAGCAGCTCTCGCAGGTGAACCGTCTCAGTCAGAGGCGGCTGTTTGTTGTGAGTTCCCCTTCAGGGGTCAGAGACTGCGACAGTGACCTTCAGGGGCCAGACAGCCCGAGTCTCGGTTTGTTAACGCCTGCCTACTTCCAGTCAGATTCTTCAACACGAGAGGGGGGAGGTAATGGAGGACGAGCGGCACCAGCTTACCTGCCATTTGCCCTCATGTCTCACTGCCTTATTAGCTAGAAAGGTGGACGACTTTGTGACAGCAGCTGAAGGAAGGACGGGGTGATCACACACATCTTCTGCCTAATCTCAGGGGTCACACTAAGTTTACCGGAGCAGATTTAGGACAAATTAGAAAATATGTACAGAGCCCTACTGAATGGAAACACTGGTAAAAGGTTTTAACTCGATTCAAAATAAAGATTTTTGAAGGATAAGTGCAGATTTGTTCGCATACCTCCCCCAAAAATAAATATGTTTTATCCTAAAATGTAGAAATGCCGTCATCGAACATTATCTATGTACCGTATTTTTCGGACTATAAGGTGCACTTAAAATCCTTTAATTTTCTCAAAAATCGACAGTGAGCCTTTTAATCACCTTATGCATTAATTCTGGTTGTGTTTACTGACCTCGATCTGATTTTATGTGTTTATTGTGAATGAGTTGAATAAACTTTCACTTATCTGACTGTTTTGTTTCGTTTAATGCACCTTATAATCCGGTGCGCCTTATGTATGAAAACAGAAAGAAAGAACCACATTAAATGACAAAAAATAAAACCAGCTGTGGCAGCCATCATGAATGAGAATGTCTCTAAAAATTAATCAGCTGCAGATGCACATCCAGTAATTGTTTAATAAATGTTTTAATAAAATTAATTTAACAGTTTTGTATTTTGCTTACTGACACAGGGTTTATGTCATTAGGTTTTAAGCAAAAAGCCCATGAGTACATTAGAGCATGTTGTGAATGGGTCTCAGTTACTACCACACTAAATGTTAGCACAATATCTGTAAAATTGACTGAATTATAGCCATTTTTGTGCTTTAGGAAGACTGTTGACTATGTTAGTGATCTTAAATTGAGTTGACTCTAAAAGTTAATTAGCTGTAGAGGTACATCCAAAGATTATTTCCTGAAAGTTTCATTAAAATCCGTCCAGTGGTTGTTGAAATATTTTGCTAACAGACAAATAAATAGGCTCCAAATAGTAACTGGCATTTTTTTTTTCAAACAGAACTCTTGAAGAATCCTTCAGCTCTCATAACAGAAGTTGAGGATAAGCCTCGGCTACTATCACACCAAACTTTAGGTGAAAATGTAAACTTGACTGCATTGTAGCAACTTTTTAGTTTTTCATGAGAGCTGGCAGTGGCAGCCATTTTAAAGGTCAAGTTGACTCCTCGAGTTAATCAGTCGTAGGTGCATCTAATTATCACTTTGAGAGTTTCATTAAAATTTGTCCGGTGGTTCACCAGATATTTTGCTAAAAGGCACAGAGACAGAACATTGTTGTTCACCTGTGCTTTTCGGCGATAAATGTCTGATGTGTGGTCCTAACAGGAAATTATAATCAACGTTAAAACCTATCTTGCCTGAACGTGTCAGTCCAAAACTTGTGAGACTGGATGCTATCAAACTGCAAAGTTTTAGTTTTGCAGATGATTCAGCTGCAGTGAAACGACGCAGTGAGAAGAGCAGCCTGCAGGCGCTTCTCCTGGAGCAGGTCCCGTGAGTCCACTGGTGGTTCATTATTCCACATCGCTCATGTGCTTCTGCAACAACAGCTGGAACGGTACAATAAGCACAACGTACTTTATTTATAATAAAACCCTTCAAACTTTACACGTGTTACCCGCTGCTGAAGTCAAGACATAAAACAAGAAATATGTAGAAAAAATATGTTTAATGTGATTTTTTTGTGTGTGTGTGTGTGTGTAAACATTAACGTCTTCACTTTCAAGAACAACAACAGGTTTTAACAAATATTCCTCTGCCAGACATTTTGTTTTTCCTCTTGTAGGACTCCGCCATCTTTGCAGAAAACAAACCGGCTTCATCACGTGGAGAAAACCATTCCTCTCAGAAACATTTACAGCTCCAGGACTATGTGACTTCCTCAGATTAAATGGCCGTTTAGAAAATTTAACTGAAATTAACTCAAAGATGAACAAAAGCTGAGATTCGGTGTAGTGCCTATACCGGAAAATATGATTGATTCTAAATTTGTCTTTTTCTGTGACAAGATTATCTCTCGTTGAGAAACTAAGAGGAAGTTAATGTTGGAGCTCTCCCGTGGTTTTACTTAAAGAGATCTCCATGCACATAGTGCCCTTAATATGTTGTTGTTGTTCCTTTAATCAAATAAAAGTTGACGTTTCTGACATGAAAACTCCTAATTACTATTAAATAATTTATTATTTCATTTTATGTTAATGCTTACTTAATGTTTAATGGTTATTGTTGCACCAGGGGTCTGAGAGGTATGAAATTTCAATCCTGTGTATGTCCTGTACATACTGCACTTTTGACAATAAAGTTGACTTTGACTAATTACTTTAAATAAACATATATATATATATATATATATATGTTTATTTCATTTTTCACCTAAGAACAATTTTACTGGCACAATGCATTCTGGGGCGATACCATACATCGGTTGTAGTGGAGACTAAAACACAAAGAGCCGAAACTAAAATGTTACAACGTGATAAGAATGTTAAATTTTGTATTAGTTCTTATGCACACTGGGTGCATGCACATAAGCTCATATGTCGAAACAACCAAACACGATCAACTTGCGATGTTTATTACGGTAGTTCTGGAGCTAAAGCTATTAGCGCTGGAGCTAACACGTTAGCGCTGGATCTAACATTGTTAGCTATGGAGCTAATGCTATAAATATATTTTCGCTCTGAAGCAAATGTCATAAGCTCTGGAAATAGTATTAGGTCTGGGGCTGACATCATAAATATTAGCTTTGGAGCTAATGATAGACATATTAGTTCTGGTGCTAATGCTATTAGCACCTGGGTTAACGTCACAAATATTAGCTCTGGAGCTAGCATGAAAGCAAATCATCTCTGCATACTCCTCTCTGGCAACACGTGAACTTTTAGTCCAACATTTTTTCATTTACCCTTCATTTATACAGGTAGTCTCACTGAGTAAACGAAAACTCATTTTCAAGAGAGGCCTGTTTGGGAGCACATGGTGGGTCAAGAGCCTTGCTCAAGGGCCCTGAGTGGGGCAAATGAGGGTGGAGGCAGGTGTGGGTGTTTCACCTTTACCACCCACATTTTTTATGTTCTCAGTCTGGGGAGTTGAACCTGTGACTTTCCCAAGAAGTGAGGATGTCTCTTAGTTCTGTGAAGCTTTGTATTGTTTGTGTTTGTGATTTTTAAAGGTTTAATGTCCGCTCAGGGCCGTCAGTCTTTGTTTTAGCAGTCTGGAAAATGGTGCAACGATCACAGCGTCTCAAAAGGAATCTGTCCGTATCCTGGCGAACACTGCAGACATGCTTTTGACGATGCCCTTCAGCCTCAGAGGCCTCTTGGTGTTCGTCAGCTTGGCGTCCCTCATCCTTTCCACCAGTCCGTGAAACACGGTGAGCACGCTGTGGTAGTTCTCCGCCGCCGAGACCTCGTAGAAGAGGCAGTTCGTGTTCAGGGCCAGCAACCGGCCCTCCTCGCTCAGTACCGTCCGCCTGTGGTGCAGGTCCCTTTTGTTGCCCACGATCACGATGGGCACCTTGTCTTCACCGAGGAAGTCTTTGGTGGACTTGATGCTCTGGACGAGCTTGCTGACGGCGTTGAAACTGGCTCTGTCGCAGATGCTGTAGACCAGAACGAAGCCATCTGCCCACTGGACCTTCTTATGGCAGGGGGACGTCTCCACCAAAGGGTCCTGTGAAGTCAGACATTTTTAGTTCACGCAGCATCTTAAGATGGTGGCAACCATGTTCATCTGAGTGTTTTCTATAACAGCAAATGGTCAACATGACTGTGGTGACCAGAGATGGCTGAATTCAGCTCAACCAGCACTCAAAAATTTAACTTTTTTTATTTGTTTTGTTGATTAAGGACTTGCAGATAAATAGTTTCTCTGGTTAGCTGGTGTCTTTTTAGACTAATGTGTGTTTTTCTAAAGCCAACGCCAAGTTTTAGGTATTGAAGCAGCTGATGACCAACTAAAAAACTTTATTTTTTTCTAATGGGCAGTTTATTAAAACCATAAACAATGCACATTAATGTGTTAATATATATATATATATATATATATATATATATATATATATATATATATGTATATATATATATATATATATAAACAATAACCAAAACTGCTTAGCTTAAATAAACCTTTAATTTCAACATAAAAAGTCTCGATTAAACAATTAGAGGATAATTGTGTTTGTCCTACCGCTATTTTAATGTTATGAGCGGCAAATAAAAAAAACAAGAAGAAAACTTCAAAAAGGTTTATTTTGTTTATAAAGAAATTAGATTAAATTTGATTTGTACTAATGCCTCCATCCAGACATCTGGAGGATTTTTACTACACTTGTAAACTGATGTCATTTAGGAGAAAACTATTGTTATGTTGTAAAAACAGTCAAATTTTTAATCCTAAAAATCCGGATGGATGGATGGATGGATGGATGGATGGATGGATGGATGGATGGT